CTCTGAACCGTGGACAATACAAGATGGATGAAGATGGTATAATTAAATTGAAAGCAACATCTCTTTCAGCATTTCCACAAAAAGGACCTAGGAAGATAGAAGTATTTCTTACGCATAGAGGTCGGGCAGTCCAAATCAGGAATTGCCATCTCATAGCGTAAGTATGCCCTAGACATTTATGAACCCGATATTAAACTTTCTACCATGACAAAGGAGCCCCTTAGTGATCTTGGAAGGTACAGGTGGCTGGTTGGTAAGTTGAACTATCTCACAGTTACTCGACCTGACATTGTCCTTCCTGTGAGTGTAGTAAATCACTTTATGGACTCTCTGTGTAATACTCATTAAGATGCAATTGTTCGTATTCTCTGATACATAAAATCAGCCCCCATGCAAAGGATTGCTTTTTGAGGATCGAGTCATTAGCAGATTGTTGGATGCAGACGTTGATTGGGTTGGCTCACCTTCTGATAGACGGTCTACATTTGTTTATTGTTTTGTGGTAGGAGGTAATTTGGTGTCTTGGGAAAGCAAGAAAAAAAAGTGGTTGCTCGATCTAGAGCAGAAGCTGAATATCGAGCAATGGTTGTGGCAACTTGCAAACCAATTTGGATTAAACACTAGCTCAAGAGGTGAGGATTGCACATGACCATATAGGGAGACCAATACCCCATCCCACTACCAAAGTGAGACTCAACACTACGTGTATAATATATGTTTATTTTTTACAAGGAATATGCTTATGATATATTTCATAAGAAGTTTTGTATGTGTATGTCTACATGACTACATGTCCTAATCATTGGAAGCAAATCCAACCTTTCTCTTTATACACAAGCAAGCATACATGGCATACTAATCTATCAAAAATCACAAAGACAATATCAAGGAGACAATATAAATATTCAGATGGTGGAACTCACAGATCTCAAGTCCCAGCCAGGTACTTTCCCATAAACGGAGCATTTGCGTATTCTTTCCTTCTTGACTTCCCAGAGTTCTCCAGAAAGTGCATCACTAACCTTGGGAAGACCACCATTTGTGACCTGTTATCGATAAGATTATCACGCAAATGTAATTATAGATTCTATAGCCGAGGAACAACATCCAACATCGTTTATACCTTTGGTTGCGCATCAGATGAATCCTGACCAGCCCCTTTCAAAGGGAGTCCAGGAGGTGCTTCTCCTTTTAATGCAGCTAACTGTAAAGAGAACCATGTTTGTGATTTCTTCATGTATGGAAAAGTATCAAGGGAACAAGTACGACTCTTGAATAAAAATCATGCAGCAGTGATAATGATAGAGAACCATCTCTCCCAAAAGGTGAACATACCAGAGAAACAATGGTAATCACCTTCAAAAGCAAATCCCCAAGAGGGAGTTGGAAACCATCACATGAACCTCAACAAGATGCCTAACAGATATTAGATTATGACCATCTAGATTTTGCTCGACAAGTAATAACAGTGCATCAACACCAAAGATCCGCTCATCCCAGCACTCAATGACACTAATCTCTCCACTAAAAACAGCATACAAGAGACGATGTCGAACTAATACTTTCAACACAAAAAGCTCCTCAATTTCATCAAAACTTCCTGTTTCAGTTCACACCAAAGCAGTTAAAAACTACCACAAATTTGCAATAATGGATCAAACTGCCGAGCTCAATGATTTTGGAGGTATGTTTCATTCATACCTAATAACTTCCAACAAGCACCATAGGATCCATTATCTTTCTGCACTAAACCTAGACTTCTAAAGCAAACGCAACTGCTTAGCAGCATGATCCTATTACCAAAATTGAGGCCAAATTCTGGAGTGGATGTTCCCCTCTCAATAGACAAAACAATTAAATGAAAGATGAATTCACCTAATACTCTATTTGAGAAAACTCAAAAATGTCCTGATGACTTAAACATACATCTTTGATGTCTTGACAGACAAATACTAAGGATATTTGGTCATATAGAGGCTAGACCAGGAGAATGATGAAAAGACAAATACTTTTCCAAATGAAAGAAGACATTCACTCATCTCACGAAGATCATATACTACACTTGATCTTAGCCAAAAGGCAGTACTGCATCTCACGAAGATCCAATAAGCATACAGAAACTTCACTTTAGGAGTGTAAAAGAATGTTTACATATGCAGCAGACATGAAGATTACCTTGACTTCCTCGATAGCTACTGTACTGGGAACCCTTCGATGCTCTTTCTTTCTTGGTGGATCTTGGTCCACTATATCCTCCATCCTAACACCAGGATCTACAGTCAAGATAACCCGTACCCATTCTGGATCAAAAGCATCTGACTTCAATGGAAGAGATGGGACCTCTCTACATTGACTACAACTTTCTGAAGCAGAACCAAGGCTGCAATGATCTATTGCAGACTCTGATTGCTTCTCCACCGAAAAATTCACTCGCACAAATTTCACTTTGGCATCCCATAATTGAGTCATTGCTTGGTCTATGGCCTGAGATGCAGACATTGACATCCTGTCAAAACCATTGTGGTACATATCTTGTCCTGTCCACAGAGGGTAAGCCCAAGGAGGAGGTTTTGGCAATAGAACATCTCCATTTGCCAGAGGGATCCCTCCCTTTGAGAGCTTTTGAGGATTGGATGTGTCTTTTGTACTTGCATGGAAGTGAAAAAGAAAGAACAAACATGAGGCAGTGGTAAACAGAAACCAGCCTGTTAAAAGTAAATGTGTCTTTGGGTCATAATTTCTTTAACTTACTTGGGGCTTTCACATTTTAAAACTTCAACGCATATCAAATAAGGAGCTTTTTCTCTTGAATTCAAGAGAACAGCTTCATCTTCAGGTATGTGAAGAACACGATACATTCCCTTTCCCATTGGAAAGCACACTCCTGTAGCATGTCGAAGATATTAAGACGACAATTGAACTAAAAGCTACAAAGGAAATATATTTTGATTTAACTAAGAGTTGCAAAGGGAATATATTTTGGGCAGAAATTTGCATGCGCGGGAATTGAAAATTAAAAGTAGGAAAACCATCATAGCCCACACAACATCAAATGACACAATCTTAATATACAAGACTTACTGCCAAATCAAAGACTTTGTCTATCTGTTTTATGTCTTCACTACCTGCTTTTCTTACCTGCACTTACTGATACATCCTCCATCTCAAAATACTTGATCAACTTTCATACTCAATCTGGATATCAAAGGAAGTTAACACAGGATATGGAGGTAGTTTATGGAGATCCATTAGGTCACTTTGGCCTGTTATGAAGAGTCATTCTTCTGTTAATGTACTAAATGGAAGCAAAACTTCCTTTCGGAACGCTAAATGGCTGGGAGCTGGTTGTTTAAAGGTGCTTTTCCCGGATATATATGGTTTGGTCGAACATCAACAAAAGACAGTAGCTGAAGCATGGACACCTCAAGGTTGGGATCTCATTTTTAGGAGAATGCTGAATGACTGGGAGGTGGCCAGGTTGACTGAGTTTTACAAGCAGCTGGAAGAATTCAAAGGATTACAAAATGGGGTGGACAACATTATGGTGGCAGGGACACAACAGAGGTATCTATAAGGTGAATACAGCATACAGGATTCTGAATCATCCTAATCAGCAGATTACTAATTGTCCATGGAAACATATCTTGAAAGCAAAGATCCCCTACAAGGTGGCTTGTTTTACTTGACTACTAGCAAAGGAGGCTGCTTGACTCAAGAAAATCTCAGGAGAAGAGGAATGCCACTTTGGTCAAGGTGCTTCCTATGTGGGGGGAAAGCTGAGACAGATAGCCATCTATTTGTACGCTGCAAGATAACAGACCAGTTATGGAAGATCTTTATTAATCTCAGAGGCATATCCAGGACAATTCCTAGCAAGATTACTGAAGTTCTTTTCAGTTGTGATGAAGCTGGAGAAAGAGATAAAGATAGATGGAGGATTGTCCCAGCTTGTATCTGGTGGACAATCTGGACAGAGAAATTCCAGATGTTTTGAGAACAGCAGCAACTCAGTGCATAAGATCAAACTAAATAGTGTTCTGCTTTTTTGTTTTTGGAGTAACAGGTTTACATAGAAGATACTGTATCAATCCTAGAAATTCTAGAATCTTGCTAGGAGTGCAGAACAATTTCTTCTCTCTTTTGCTCACTTGTAATTATGGTTTTCAGTACAACCTATGTACTGACTTCTTTAATATACACAAATGTTACCTTCTCCCAAAAAAAAGACAATAAACATAAATTAATCTTTTAACAGAAAGCTAATCAAGTCACCCATTTTAAAATAGATGTGTAGTTGCTTATTGCTATTATGTGACTCCGTATGAACAAACTGCCTTATTGCGCATGTTTTGACAATTTCACCATATGTGTACCTAACTCTGTTACTTAGAACCATTTAACTTACATTTCCTTGAACTCCAGACTGTTCAAAGGGTGATCTATGTCGGAAAGAATGATGTTTCAGACACTTAACACATTTCCTTTGAACAGAAGTAGTAGTACATTAGCAATGATTCTCGGACACGATGCAAGTTTAAAACACAAAAATGAGATTTCTCGAGCATCGTAGAAATCAACTTCTACTAATAGAGGAGGCAAAAAAAAAAGGAAATGGAAAAGGGCATCAAATACAAATAAGCAAGCTCTCAATCCTCGAAATTCTAGTGAATGACTTAGTTTCACCATCTTAACTTCACATTTGAGGAAGTGATAGGGAGCAAACACAAAACATACATATAAAAATAGGGACAGAATTGATCCCAGTCCAAGCACCTCCAGAAAAGCAGATAAAATACATCACTCTTAATCCAGCATAAGGAGATATAAAACAAGGCTACATATGTCTAAAATTACCATCATGAAAACTATAAGCATGTTAGTCGCAGTCATTCGGTGATTGGGTCAACAATTACGGTGATTGGTAAACACTCTACCCATGTTTGGTGCTCATGCAGACAGAACACTACCAAAAAGAGGTAGCTAACTTTCCTACCATGAAAACCTCTCATACATGATATAGCAAATGTTCAATCCCCAACCCCAAATTTCTTTGCTCTATGGCCTGCCACCATGTCTTAACTATGTTGTTTAAGGGGTAGACCCTAAACCTCACCATCCACTTTTGACCTTCAAGCTTGGACTGATTGACATTAAATCCTTGTTAGAATCAATATTTTAACTTAACTAATCTATGATTATGTGAAATTTTTAGTATAAGAAAAAGTTAAAACCCATTATTTTTATTCACATAATACCCACATCACGAAGACTGCCATTTTTACCTAAGTTGAGGGAATCTGTAATCACTTAAAATGCGTATAGAAGAGTTTAGATGTTGAAACGAGAATTGTACCCGGTATTTCTTTTATAAGGCCGAGTACCTGGTATTTATTACATAAAGAGAACAAATGATACACATACTCAACCGGTATGTCTTATACAAGGTCGAGTACCCGGTATGTATTACATAAGGAGAACTAATGATACACATACTCATTCACGGATGCAAAAACATTAGTGAGTACAAAGACATGGATATAATATAAAACTGAATCAACTACCCCTCATTGAATTCAATTCATTTCTGGTAGCAGAGTAAACTTGCAACGAGTTTTAATCTTTCAAATGGAAATGATGGTGCATTAAGAAAAGGCAACTTATAGACAGCTGCAGGAAGTATTCCTCAATTTTTTTAATGCCTTTAGGAGGAAATCCATCTCCAGAACCTCTCAAAAGTCTATAAGAAGAACTGAGATCATGACAGAATAAATCAACAACAGAACATATTCATTGTACCCTATATAAGGAAATGCATAAAGTTGATTCATGCATTAAATTTTCAATACACGTGTACCTCCACTGTTTTGAGCATCAGCTAGATGTGCATTGATCTCCGCTAGAGACTAGAAGAACAAAGGTGAATGTCAGTGAGGGAAAACTGTTAACAAAGGTATCACACCAAAGGAAAAGTATAGAGCAAGTTAAAACTAGAACCACCTCACAAAGAGCACTTTTGCGATCCTCAACTGGGAACACGTCTACTAATCCATAGGAAGTATCGCACAGTGACTGCACAAAATCAAGTGACTGGTGGTATGCCCCTTTCCGAAATTGTGATACCCCATTATCTGGAAGTGGAGGTTTTGCATTTAACCTCTCGTGCTGCTTTGGGGAGCCAGGACGTTTCTGCAGAATGAACATTACTCACGAATTAATTACAATTACCATCATACCATATATATCTTTTTTATTTCTAAGGTACCACCATACTATATGTATCAACTCCTCAATTACGACTCTAATTTCTGCAAGATTGCAGCGGAGGCTGGTGTAAAGAGCCCAACATGAAATATATGCTAATCCATAATCTCAGAAACACTACATCACATTTCCATCATATCACTATAACTCATCCATTGTAGATTTATTGCAACTAAAGAGCCTTGGCATTCACCATTGATGCGTGTAAGGTCATGACTGAATAATTAAGATTCTGAAAAATCTAACCCACCTACTGAAAAAAATTTCTCTCTCTACTTTCTTGAGCTCTCAGGCACACTCCCCGAGGAGTCTGAGAACAAGGAATCTTGAGAATCCATAAACACCATTAGCATGTTTACTCAATTCCGACCACCCCTCTGAAAACAGCTCCGTCAAACAACCTCTCACGCGCCGCCACGCGTGGCACTTTCCGGCGAGCCAAACACCACGCGCCGGCGCGTGAGCTCAATCCCGGCCACTTTTCAAAATTTTCGTTTTGGACAGCACGCTCGCTGGGAAATTCCGAGCACATCCATACAATTTTTTCTGAATTCCGATAACTTTTATTTTTTCCGGTGGCGGGGAATCCTTCTCTGTCCAGAATTCTGGTTTCTGTTCTTCTTTTTTTTCAAGCTTTCTAGCTCACTGTGATAACTTCCAAACAACCCCTAAAATTCCATAACCTGTACAGCTGATTTGTACAATATGGGAGACAACAGGATATATTCCAACGCAGGATTCAAATCTTTTGACATCACCAGATGGAACTCCAACAAAGACACTTGGTTTGAATGGGTGGAGAGAAGCCGCAACATGATGAGAAGATCATCCATGGGTAGAAAGGCAATGGAATGGATATGCTTTGCACTTAAAGAAGCGTCGACAGATCAAAACAATCTAGTGAAGAGATGGAAGTACAAGGAGCAAATGACAGAACATTTCTGTATTAGGAAATTTAACACCCATGGAAGATATATGAGTATTCTGTCGCTGAAGAGAAGGGAGGACAGTGATTATAATCCCAGAGTTAACTTTGAATTCTGGCTGGAAAGACATAGCAGCTAAGATAGAGAGATTCATATCCACCAAGTTGAATCCCATAGTACCACCCAGAAATACTGTGGAAAATTTCCCTTATGCCCAAGCAGTTAAGGAGAGTAAATGGCAATCCAATACTCTTCGAGAGGCAAGGGTCAGCACGAACAATGGCGATATCACTGTTTTGGAACCTACTGGAGGAGAGGACACAGGCCTACTAAAAAGATGCATTATCGGGTCTTTAGGGAAAGAAATCAATGAGAGACCCACTTTAGCAGATATAAGGCGATGGGCTAGTGCTTCATGGAACAAAGCATACGGAGTAAACATATATGAAATGACAGGAAACATGTTTCTTTTTGAATTTCCAAACAGATTCATGGCAGAGCAGATTGTGCAAGGAGAATGGAGATGGAAAAAATTCAAGCTTCATCTGGATTGGTGGAATCATACAGCCGGTTGCATTCCAAACTCACAAATTGAGGAAACATGCTGGATTAGAGCCATGGGGATTCCTTTACATCTATGGTCACAAAAGATCTTCAAAGAAATAGGAGATCTCTGTGGGGGTTGGTTAGCTACAGAAGAAGAAACTGATCTCAAAAACCATCTTAAGTGGGCGAGAATCAAAATTGTTGGTGATGGCAGAAAGACTCCCAATGAGGTGGGGATTGAAAGAGACGGTACCAAATTCTTCATCCCAATCTGGGCTGAAAGAAAGACACGGTATGAGCTAAACACTGGTAAAGGAAAAGCAAGTGGACAATTTACACAAGGTTCAACTTCGATGAATCAAAGCAGTAAAGTGTCAAAAGTCAAGCTGAAATCCTATGACCCCGATATGGCTGCACAAGTCATTTTTAATGACCTCTCGTGTGAGATCTCTGATGATACTGGGCTGAAGCCTTATATCGAGGAAATGGGAGGACCTTCTCACTCGGGGGCAAAAGAGTCATCTCCAGGGGATCAAACCTTTAATGTGAATCTTGAAGGTATGCAAAAGGAAACAATTACCAGTTGCAGTCAGCCAGAAGGTGGAGCAGATTTAGCAAGATTGGAACAGAAGGAAGGGGAGCAAAGCATAAACTCAAAGAAGGGGAATGATCACGTGGGAAGTACTTTGGAACATCTAAAGCAATTTAGCTCTATTCAAGAGTGGGAAATCGAGGAGGTGAATCCTTTAGCAGTTCAACAACACAATCCATTATTGGATAAAGACATGGATGCAACAATATGGGTCCATCAAAATATGATCAAATTGGGGAAAATGTTTGGAGTAGATTTCCAAGGACATGAAGAAGAAGCACTGGAATTGTTAATGCAAATTGNTGAATCCCATAGTACCACCCAGAAACACTGTGGACAATTTCCCTTATGCCCAAGCAGTTAAGGAGAGTAAATGGCAATCCAATACTCTTCGAGAGGCAAGGGTCAGCACGAACAATGGCGATATCACTGTTTTGGAACCTACTGGAGGAGAGGACACAGGCCTACTAAAAAGATGCATTATCGGGTCTTTAGGGAAAGAAATCAATGAGAGACCCACTTTAGCAGATATAAGGCGATGGGCTAGTGCTTCATGAAACAAAGCATACGGAGTAAACATATATGAAATGACAGAAAACATGTTTCTTTTTGAATTTTCAAACAGATTCATGGCAGAGCAGATTATGCAAGGAGAATGGAGATGGAAAAAATTCAAGCTTCATCTGGATTGGTGGAATAATACTGCCGGTTGCATTCCAAACTCACAAATTGAGGAAACATGCTGGATTAGAGCCATGGGGA